AGGTTCATTGTGGGGACAGGAAAGTGAATATGTAACAGATGATGAAGATAGGGTTGAACTGCTCAATTCCTACTTTTCCTCAGTCTTCTCTTGTGAGGTAAATGGTGCTCAACATGGCAAAAACAGAACACATGATGAGGGAAGGGAGTTGCAGCCTAGGATCAGCATAGGGGTAGTACATAAACATCTAGTTTCTTTAAATGAAAATAAGTCCTCGGGACCAGATGAACTGCATCCAAGGGTACTAAAAGAACTCATGGATGTAATTTCTGAGCCTCTTTCCATTCTTTTTGAGAATTCTCAGAGAACAGGTGAGGTGTCAGAAGACTAGAGGTGGGCAAATGTTGTCCCCATCTTCAAGAAGGGGGAAAAGGAGGATCCAGGTAACTACCGACCTGTCAGCTTGACGTCTATACCTGGGAAAGTTTTAGAACAAATAATCAAACAGTCAGTCCTTCAGCATTTAGAATGGACAGTTGTGATTACTAAGAACCAGCATGGGTTTCTCAAGCACAAGTCATGTCAGACTAACCTTATTTTTTTTTTCCAAAAACGTTACTGCCTTACTGGATCAGGGGAATGCTGTAGACATAGTTTATCTTGATTTCAGTAAGACTTCTGATAAGGTTCCACATAATATTCTCGTTGACAAGTTGGTAAAATGTGGTTTGAATCCTATGACTGTCAGGTGGATCAGTAACTTAGTTGACAGATCGCACCCAAAGAGTGCTTGCGAATGGTTTCCCATCCTCTTGGAAAGGAGTGATAAGTGGAGTACCTCTAGGATCTGTTCTGGCATCTGCTTTGTTCAACATCTTTGTTTGGATGAAGGAATGGAGGGAATGCTTATTAAATTTGCAGATGATACTAAACTGGGAGGGGTAACAAACACGGTAGAAGACCGAGTTAGGATTACAGGATGATCTTGACAAGCCGGAAAACTGGGCTAAAACAAATAAAATGAATTTCAATGGGGATAAATTTAGGTAGGATATTTAGGTAGGAAAAATCAAATGCTTAATTATAGGATGGGGGAGGCTTGTCTTGGCAGCAGAATATGAGACAAGGATCTAGGGGTCTTGGTAGACCATACACTGAACATGAGTCAGCAGTGTGATGTCGTAGCTAAAAAGGCAAATAACACTTTGGCCTGTATCAACAGAAGTATAGTGTTTCACGGGTTCTCAGGACACCAGTCAACCTCTGGTCCGATGCCACCATGCTCCTGGGCGATGCTGGGGTTATCCCTGTTTGGGGGTGATCCTGCTGGTTCGGAGAAGGAGGGTGGTAGGGAGGGCAGGAGTAGCCTCAGCTCCGAGCTGGGAGGGGGTTACATCACCTGACCTCCATTAGCTTTCTGGGCCAGCACTCAGATGCCTCTCTCTGCCGGGTCCAAGCCTGTCCTCCTCAGCTGGCTCCATCGTCTCTTCTTTATACCTCTCCCTCCTGGGTCCCCTCTGTGGGGTCCGGCCCTGCCCCCCCCCATATGACCGTGAAGACGCTTGAGGCAGCAGCTTCTAGCTGCCCTTGTGCTGCCACCCCCCTTTCCCCTTCTGCTGTGGCCGGGCCAGCTACCCTGCCAGGAGGCCTCAGCTGGGGCTTTTCAGCAAGTCCCTGTGTCGTCTCTTCTGCAGGCTACCAGCTCCAATGTTCCCTCTAAGCTGTGGAGTCCTGTGAGCAGAAATTCTACTTTGTGAGCTACTGGCATTAAAGTTGTGAGCAGGTAGTTTGGCTGCTGCATAAAATTAGTTTGCTCTGGAGCCATCTTTCCTGAGCTAAGACAAAAATGTGTGAGCTGGAGGCTAAAAAACTGTGAGCTAGCTCACACTAACTCAGCTTAGAGGGAACACTGAACAGCTCCCCTGCTGTCATGCCTGGGCTTGGCCCAAACCTGGGCCACCTTGCCTCCCCGCACGCTGGGGAAGGGCAGTTGTTCTGTCCGGCACCTCTGGTGTCGGGCCGCTCCCCGCCCCCATCTTCTAGGGGCTCACTGCAGCTGTCTTTGCCCTCTGCCTCCCGCCCAACCCTAGTAGGTGTTCCATGGTCTTCAGGTGCTCGGCAAGGTGGAGGAGGCATCTCCGGAGCCGCTTCCTCTGCCTGCCGCAGCTGCAGGCCATGAGGCAGCTCCCCTGCCGCCTCTTGCTCTGCGAGGGGGTGTCTGTGGGGAGGTAGTCTGGGCTGGACCCAGACAAGTGTCCAGATCATGCAAACTGATGGTATTGTTCTACTCTGCTCTGGCTAGACCTTACTTGTATTCAGTTTTGGGCACCACAATTTAAGAAGGATATAGACAAGCTGGAACGTGTCCAGAGAAGGGAAACAAAAGATGGTGAGGGGTCTGGAGACCAAGTCCTATGAGGAAAGGTTGAAGGAGCTGGGTATGTTTAGCCTGGAGAGGAGACGACTGAGAGGTGATATGATCACCATCTTCAAGTACTTGAAGGGCTGTCATACAGAGGATGGTACGGAGTTGTTTTCTGTTGCCCCAGACGGTCGGACCAGAACCAACAGGTTAAAATTAAATCAAAAGAGTTTCTGGCTAAACATTAGGAAGAACTCCCTGACAGTTAGAGCTGTTCCTCAGTGGAACAGGCTTCTTTGGGAGGTGGTGGGCTCTCCTCCTTTGGAGGTTTTTAAACAGAGGCTAGATGGCCATCTGACAGCAATGTTGATTGTGTGACATGCTGATCATCACTTTGGGATCAGGAAGTAATTTTTCTCCATGCCAGTTTGGCCACGGATCCTGGAGTTGTTGTTTTTTGTCATCTTCTGGGCAAGAGCTTCCGGTCACTGGGGATGTGTGTGTGGGGGGAGGGATTTGAGAATTTCCTGCATTGTGCAGGGGGTTAGACTAGATGACCCTGGAGGTCCCTTCCAGGTCTATGATTCTATGATCCCGGAGAAGGAGAGGCTGAGGCAGGGGAGGAGGTATAAAAGGGGGACTCTGTAGCCTGGCTAGGGAAGGACATGACACCTGTAAGGAAGGAATGAAAGATCTAAGGCGCTGCTATAACCTAGCTTTCAAGTTCCCCATTTCTGACCTTAGTGGAGACTTGGTTTGCCAGGTGTGACAGAGGAGGACAAGGAGACCTTGCAGGCTACAGGGGGCACTCAAGGTGGGTTACACCATTCATTAAAATATAACAAAATCGCAACGAAGGAACGCAGATTAATTCTCTACCATGCTCTAAAACCACCTCTCATAGGAGAAAACCACAATGGTCTCCACTTCACAAAATGCCTTTCTGAATATACAAGAGCTTCTGGAAAGCAACCACAGGACTGAGGCCTTTTGGACATTATCAAAAAGGCCATTCCATCAAGCGGTGAACCTATATTGATGTAAATGGACTCTATTGGCGCCTTGAAAACCAACGAAGTGCTACCCAATATACATTTTTGTGCAGTAGAACTTAGTTCTTCAGAGGCAATGGAGGCTAGTGGCACTTTAAGGACTCACCAAACCAAACAAAACCAGGAATTGTATTTTTCACTTCCTTTGTTAATGTCCCACCTTTCTCCCCAAAGCACCTTACTTTGTTATCTTCTTCTCCATTTCATCCTCACAACAACCCTGTAAGGTAGTTCAGGCTAAGAAGTGTGTGACTGGCCCAACAAGACTGTATGGTAGAAAACAATTCAGAGCCAGTGTGGTGTAGTGCTTAAAGAGTATCTGGAAGACCCAGGTTCAAATCCCCACTTATGCTACAGAAGCTCACTGTGTGACCTTGGTCTAGTCACACTGTCTCAGCCTAATGTACCTCACAGGGTTGCTGTGAGGATAAAATGGAGAAGAAGAGAATAACGTAAGTCGCTTTTGTGTCCCCACTGGGCTACCATATTTTGAAAAGCAGAAAAGGACATATTTCCCCGACGACTTCAAGGGATCACCATGACAAATTTCATTTTAAATACCTCTAGTATTTAAGCCGTGATCATTGCTACTAACTAGGACTATTTCTAACCTTCGACCCAAAAGAGGACATTTTCATCAGTTTTTTTAAAAGGAGCCCAGAAGAGGACGGACACACCAAAAAGAGGACATGTCCTCTAAAAAGAGGGCATCTGGAAATTAAGTAAATAATATTCGAATCTGGTCTCCCAGATCCTAGTCTGATGACCACGACACCGCACTCTTGTAACACCTTACAAACAAACGAAAGGTTATTCCGGTATACGCTTCTGGGACTAGAACACTTCTGTTGCCAGCCTCCAGGTGGGGCCTGGGGATCTCCCGCTTTTACAACTGATCCCCAGCCGACAGAGATCAGCTCCCCTGGAGAAAATTGATGCTTTGAAGGGTGGGCTCTATGGCATTGTATTATGTTGAGGCCTCTCTCCTCCCCCAAACCACGCCCTCTCCTGGATCCACCCCCAAAGTCTCCAGGTATTTTCCAACCCAGACTTTGCTACCCTACTCCAGACGTAGTGAAATCTAGGGGCACCTTAGGGACTAACCCCTCCAGTGGCACCTTAAAGATGAACATTTTCTTCCAGCATAAATTTTCTTAATTGGATTCTCCTCCCCCCCCCCCATCCCATCCCATCCCATCCCATCCCAGAGCGTCGCAGACACACTAAAGAGACACATTCTAGCAGGTCGCTGATTTGCTTCGCGTTTAATATTCTCCATGGGAATCCGACCGGGATCTCCGAAATGATCCACCTTGCCCACCAATGCAAGCTCACCTTCAACTCCGGGTAGGAATAAAGCTGCTCTCTCGAGAGCTGGGACACGTCGATCCGCTTTCCATTAATCAGCAAAGGCATCTTCGGAAAGTCACGCCTTAGGCGGCGAGGAACCCCTGCTTCCTTCCTCCCGCGAGCTCCCCAAGGCACTACCTCCTATATATGGGGTAGTGCCCAAGGAGATACGCCGCCCACGTGAGTCTCGCCGCAAAGGGCCCTGGTAAATGTAGTCCCAGTTTGCAGGAGTTCAAGATTCCAGACGTGGCTTCCAACGAGCAAACGAGGGCCTACGCACCGTTTGCATTAAGTGCTACCTAACTATGAAGAATCCTATATCACTTTGGCTCAGTTAATTCCAATAATTTCAGCAATGTGTCTTTGAAAGAAAAAAAAAGTGATGTCCAGAGTCTTTCACTTTGGCTCAGTTAATTCCAATAATTTCAGCAATGTGTCTTTGGAAGGAAAAAAAAAGTGATGTCCAGTCCAGAGTCTTTCGGTTTTCATTTTTTTAGCAGTAAATAAGGGATTTTCCCCCTGCAGTTCAGTCTGCTTTCTTCTTTAATGTGCGAGTTTATGCATTGCTTCATCCTATGTGCAAATATTTCAAGCCAGCCCCCCCCCCATTCAACATAAGTAAACAAGGCCTGCATTCCCAGCCGAAACTGTAAATAGGTATAAAATAAAAGGATTTAACAAAGGTTTATCTTAACACAACTTTATAGTAGATGCCCCTGCTCAAATTTATGGAACAATCTGGTCCATATCATAGTATTACAAAAAGTCATGGTCTTTCATTCCAAGTTTATGGTCATTTCTAAAGAAATACTGCTTTGTACCATCTCATGGCAACAAGCTCAACAGAGATTAGGTACTCAAAGACTAATGGTGTTTTCCCACTGGCAATTATAATCTCACTCCTATCTGAAATATTAGTGAAGGTGTGTAGTTGTAAGCACGTAAATAAAGACAAATTGTATAAAATTTACATAGGCGTACACAGACAAATTTAGACATAATTATTATAATTACTGTAATTTCCATTTCCACGGTTCAGTCTCATACTACTTCTTAATTGGAGGATACAATTGAAGGCAAGCCTTAGCCTAGCCACCAATCAAGTCTATGCATGGAGTCTGGACCAACTCTCCATATGTCTTCATGCGGCTGCCAACCTGCAAATGGCTCCAGTCCAGAAGGTGAGAGAAATTTTTATATTTCTCATAATCCCAGGCTACAAACACCAGGGAGGCCAAGCTTTCAGGGGTCTGTGTAGAGGTCTATAGCAACCTGCTCCAGTCACCTCAGGCAGACAGAATACACCTGAGCTATTCAGTGTGTCATATATGGCTCTGGTAGCCACAGCTCACCTGTCCTCTGCCCTCCCCCCAAGCAATAGAAGGTTTTCTAATTTGCCTGGGGTCTCTGAGGTTCAGTCATGTGGCTCTAGCACCTGAATGTCAGACACCTTCTTACCCATCAAATGCAGGTCAAGGCAGGCAAGAAAATAAAATCAAAAATCAAAATCATATTGGACTTGGTACAGATACCATAATTCCCAGTCCCATATGAGTATATTTGCTTTCTGGCAAATCTGAGATGAATTCAGCCAAAGACCAAGTCTGCCTTTCCATTCAAGCCTATGCAGCAGTGTACAGGATCAAATACACCCAAGCCTATCTGCAAACAGCTGCACTTGCGTACAAGGTGGAATTTCTCCTGGTCTCTTGTAAGGACCCGAGATTCACCTTTTAGCAGCCTGTGTGGAAGTGGTCTGGCCTCCACAGAGCCTTGTAAGGAGTCAAATTCACAAGGCTTGCTTGGTGTACCGCCTGCCCAACGCAGCAGCCAATAGCCTGGCGTCCCTGATGGAGGCCGTATCAGGCTGGGCATTGGAGCACCCTAGACCAGTGATAGCGAACCTTTTAGAGACCGAGTGCCCAAACTGCAACCCAAAACCCACATTTATCGCAACGTGCCAACACGGCAATTTAACCTGAATACTGAGGTTTTAGTTTAGAAAAAACAACTCATACATTAACATCTTTTGCCTTAAAAGAAAAACACAATACAGAGTTTATGTCAGCAAGCTGCCAAACTCAATGATACAAACAACTTTTTATTGAAAGGTAAAAGTTTGCATTCAGCATGCTTTTGAACAATTAATGTGATTTTTGCTGTTGTATGCATGCTGATAATTTGTCTAACCTTGGCTCATACTTTGTAAGTTTGAGAGCAACACATGCAGGCTTCAGGTCATGTGTTAGCCTGTTTCTGGTGTCAGATTTGATATAATTCAAAGCTGAAAACAGCTGCTCACAAGCATAAGATGATCCAAACAAAAGTAAGGAAAGCAATCCTTCTATCTTCTCAAGTGTTTCACACAGGTCATAGAATTTATTTTTCCAGATAGAGCTTTCTTGAAGTTCCAATAGCTCCATTTCCACATTTCCTAAATCTAACCAGTGTAAGCAGGAAAGATCAAGTCTAGAGCCTTAATGGAGGCCATTATTCAGCAGCAGCTTGTCCCACCAGGAAGAGGCCAAGAGGCGGGCTGGCGAAGGGAGGGGATGTACTAAAAGGGCAAGAATGCCAATTGACTTGCATGGGCTCCATTGAAATACATTACAGTACAAGTAGAGTTGCAATAAAAATGCGGAATGGATTTTCCATTAGAGTCTCTGGGCCCAAATAGACTACTCTGGGAATGGAATGAGATGGAGCTGATCTGGTGATAGCTACACACATTCCAGAAATATTTAAATGTAAAGTATTTCACTTTTACCATCTTCAGCTGATCAGGCAGTTGGTTCCTTTCCTTGAACGCAACGACTTGGCAACAGTGATCCACGAGATGGTTACCTCGAGACTGGACTACTGTAATGCTCTCTACATGGGACTGCCCTTGTCGCAAATCTGGAAGCTACAACTAGTGTAAAATGTTGCAGCCAGGCTTCTAATGGGCCTCCCAATGCGGGAGCACATTCAGCCTGTGCTGAAGGCATTGCACTGGCTACCGATAGCATACTGAATTCACTTCAAGGTGCTGGTTCTTACCTTTAAAGCCATTTATCGTCAGGGACCTACATACCTGAGGGAACACCTTTCCCCATATGTTCCCCAGAGAGCACTGCGATCAGGGTCCCAAAACCGATTGGCCCTCCCCGGACCCAAGGATGCTAGGCTGGCTATAACCAGGGCTTTCTCGGTGGCGGCTCCTCTCTGGTGGAATGAGATCCCAGAAGAGATCAAGGCCCTGTGGGACCTCATGCAGATCCGCAGGGCCTGCAAGACAGAACTCTTCCACCAGGCCTTCAATTAGGAACCACCCCAATAGAGAACCCTGTTCCCTGAAGACATCAGGAACAGCCTGTGCTGCCCGCACAAAGGCTAGATTCATGGGCTGACCACTAGGATGGAATACTGAAGGTTGGCCACCATCAGTTAATCATCTAATAACTTATTGGTATTATTAATGTTAGCACCTTTTAATGTTGGAATGTTTTATATGGTTTTAGCATTATTTAAATTGCTTACTTGTGTGTTATTATCTTATGTAAGCCGCCCTGAGCCGGCTTCAGCTGGGAGGCTGGGGTATAAATCTGACAATAAGTAAGTAAATAAATAAGAAAAGGCTCCAGTCAGCCAGCTAACAACTGGTATTTTCTTCTGGTCACTTGGGGTAAGCACAATGGCAGACATTCGTTTAGAGACACACTCAGAGGTTTATAACATCATCTGGTGGCCCAAACATGCCTCAGCTGTCCAGTGTGTCCAAGATGGCTAAGGTGTCCAGGCTTAGCCAGATGCAAGGAAAGCCTCACCAAGCAAGTATAATGAGGAGCTGCGGTGGCTCAAGTGGTTAAGACGCTGAACTGCAGGGTGTGGAAGGTCGGTAGTTCAGCAGTTCGAGACCCGAGTGTGCCGCACGACGGAGTGAGCTCCTGTCTCTAGTTCCAGCTCCTGCCAACCTAGCAGTTCGAAAGCAAGAAATTGCAAGTAGATAAATAGGTACCACTTCGGTGGGACGGTAACAGCGTTCCGTGCGCCTTGGTGTTTAGTCACACCAGCCACATGACCACGGAAACGTCTTCGGACAGCGCTGGCTCTTCGGCTTTGAAACGGAGATGAGCACCGCAACCCTAGAGTCGGATTCGACTGGCTTTCGAGCAAGGGAACCTTTACCTTTACCCTTGGTTTCAAAACTTCTACAGACACATCAGTCTTCATCCCTTATGGGTAGGTTAGCGGAACAAATTTAGAGTCCAGTGGCACCTTTAAGATCAACAAAGGTTTATTCAAGCTTTGAGCTTTTGTATGTGCGAGGCACACTTTTCCTTTTTCTCCCCAAGTTTATTTTTCACATTTTCAAAAACGTTACAAACATTTCATTTTTTTAGATTACATACATTTCATAAATTTCAGAAGCTAGCATGCTGTCAGGAGGCTGTTGCTGCACCTCTCCAAAGCCTTAGTCTATCTCCTAGCTCGAACCTTCCACCAGAGTCTCTCCTAGTTGTCGAGTGACAGACTGTGATTGGGCTGATGGGGCCCAATAAGGCGTCTGGAAGGCCAGCAAGGATCTCCACCTGAGCTGTCTCAATTACCCTGCCAGCGTTTTCTTCTATTTACTGAAGATCGTACCTGTGGGTTAGAACTGTGATGATCACTTACCAACACAATGAGCGGATGGTCACAGTGGCATGACGCTCACATTCCTGTGACAGATGGAAAATAGTTTGGCCGGGCTACACCACAATCGCATTCAGGTCCTGGTATTTTGCCCCATTTAAGCAACAGGTCTGCACAACTGCCAAAGCCTGTTCATACTCTACGAGCTGTCTTCCATACTTTACGCAGCAAGTCAAATCCTGAGGGCCTCTCGTTGGTGTTTATCAGGTTATGGATATTGGGTGGAACGGACTGCATCCATGTTCACAACCACTCATTCCCTACAACAAAATTTTGTGATTGCAGGATCTGTGCAGATCTTGTTGCTGGGCGTCGGGATCTTCGTCTGGATAGGCCCATGTCAGCCATGTCTTTGTGGATGGGCAACTCTCTGTTTTAAGTGATCTGTCTATATTCACAAAGAAGAGCATCTCATCTTTGGAAATGGGGGGGAGTGCAATAGGGGTGCAACAGGGGTGCAATTCTACCTTGCGGAGCTTAGTCTGGATAGGCCCACGTCAGCCATGTCTTTGTGGATGGGCAACTCTCTGTTTTAAGCGATCTGTCTATATTCACAAAGAAGAGCATCTCATCTTTGGAAATGGGGGGGAGTGCAATAGGGGTGCAACAGGGGTGCAATTCTACCTTGCGGAGCACCCTGGATAATACTAAAGAGCTAGAACGTCTGGTAGCCAAACAATTGTATGATCTCCTGGCTACACTACATACATGGAAACAATCAACCCATGGTGATTTCTGCTCTCATCCAAGGAATGTGTTCATTGGTCTCTTCCAAATCGGCCAAAGTAATATGGTAAATTTCTGAATATCTACTGATATGAAGTGTGTTTGTGGGTTAAATGCAATTTGAACCCAGAACCTTGTGTTTGTGTGTGTGTGTCAGACAAAGAAATGCACCGGCATCTTTAATGCTGCTTGATAGATATCAGAACAAAGTCCTTGCGAAGGGAAACTCACTGAATATTTTAATGCACTTTGTTCAATAACACCAAGTAAGTATGCAGAAGATTGCAACATCCTCATAGAGTAGAATGATATATGAGCTTTCCCAGGTAGTACTAAGCCCTCCATCAGTCCTCTGGATGCTATATATCAGCAGCAGTTTGCTCATCTGTAATGGCCCCACAAACCAGGTCTCTGACACCTTGATAGCCCTTGATTTTTAAAAATGCCTTACAGCCGATGTTGATATTGACAGAGAATTCAGGAGTGTACATTGCTAGATGGATCATCATGTGCTAAAACGCGCTGCATCTTCATTTGCTCATTTTCCAGGTGTGTTCCTAAGTGAGAAATCTCAATGAGTTTACAGGTGTGGGAACCAGGTGAATAAACATACTTCCCGGTACAGTTGTGCCTCACAGGGACATTTACTTCATGCTGGTGATGCCTGCCAAAAGATAGCATTTGAATGCCTCACAGAAAGGCGTGCTAGGCAAAATCTTGCTGAAACCACATTCTATGAGCCAGCACTCTGTCAGATTATAAATGTAGAGGCACAAGTGCAGAGATAAGTTTATATTTGTAAAGTTAGGTTACACCAGCAGACAATTTGAAGATTCAAGCATGAAAGATGTGGGCGTGTACGGTGGGGCTCTGTCAATCTTATCTGTGTGAGACAACTTGAAGTCTGATTGGCTGTCGCGTCTGTCTTGGTTGTACACTGAGATTCTGAGAGTGACAGTTATTTTGCTACCCACTGTCAGTTGGTGTTTCTGAGAGTTTAACTGTAATAGCTCTATGTTGGTCTGTTTAAATAATAACTCAAGATATATACAAACTGTTATTTAATTATTCACCAGTAAATAGTTAGATAAACACCATTTAAACTTAACTGTGTTTGGTGTGGTTCTTTTGAGTCTTCCAAAACAAAGAAACATTAACAAATATTTTTAACACACTCTTGCCAAATGCAGCAAAATCTGGATGCTTCCCTGCTTGCCTGACCCCAGATGTGGCTTTAGCCACCATGACATTATAATTTACTCTGCTGTAGATAGGATCTTTACGATTCGGCATATTCGACTCAGCTGGCACCAATGGTGACATCAGATTTGTACCAAGTCAATGAATATAGCAAGAGACTTAAAACAATTTTAGAAACAGGAAACCCCAAATTATACCTGCACACACAATGCTCATTGTAACTCTGGGACACTGAGACTTACCTAACTGCAAAGATGTGCCACTCTTAAATCATTTCAATAGCAGGCCATGCTAAGAGCAGAAGAAAGATCTAGCGGTCCACTATCCCGTAGCTATGGTGGGGCATTTTAATCACACGCACTGCCCCACAAAACTCTTTCTTTAAACCCATAATAATGTTTTTAAAAGTTTAAATGTAGCCGCACTGCTCTGTTGCAGTGCCTGAGCCTGCCTTCTCAGCCATGCTCCAGCCGGCCGGTCCACTATGTTCTCCAGCAGAGGAGGGAAGAGGGGAGGGAGGAGGGAGAAGTGAGGCAGCACTTGCCAGTCTGGGCTGCCTGCAGGCGAGGGGCCACAGCCAGGCGCTTCTTTGCCTCTGCTTTGGGGCACCTGGGGGGGGGGGAGCACACGCCCATCCAACTGTCCCTCAGCCCTGCATCACTCCATGCCCAAATCAGCAGCAAAACGGCGGCGGCAGCAGGCAGCACCTTGGGGGAACAGAGCACCACTTCTTCCTCCTCTGCTCTTTCTTTGTATTTTTCACCCTCTTGTGGAGTTCAAGGCAACAGCTTAGAGAAAAACAGGATTCGATTTCCTTTCTGCCATTCAGGCCCAGCTCCCTTCCTTCACCTCATACTACCCCACTTGTCTACTCAGAAGTAAGGGTTCTTGAAAAAATTATGTCCCCCAAAAAATTTAGATCCCCCCCCAAAAAAAATAAATCCTGGCTACGGGCTTGGCTGTCCATCTATCACAAAACAGAACTGTGGCCTGCAGAAAGCAGTTTCTGAAAGCTCCTGAGTGTTTCTATCTGAGATACAAAGTCAGGTACTGACAGGACTCTGGCCACACTAACTTTCCTACTGAAATTAATGGACACAAAGCTTCTAAGCAGTTTCGGTGTAGTACCCTCAGCCTTCCAATATTCATCCTGAACTCAGACTTCTATTAAGAAGGGGGAACAATAATTCAAAAACTCTTTGAAATATGCACAATGGGTTGAATGTGGCCAGCTGTTATTTAAAGCAAAAATAAATCAATGACATTGTTGAAAAAGCACTGCAGTTGAGGAGGCAACTGAAGGCCCACCATGGCAGTCATAACAAGTTTGATCACAGCTGGGGTCTATTAATGCATCACAATAGCTATTCCAAAACACAGGAAGAAAAAACAGGAAGCACTGTTAAAATGCTTCTCCCTACAGTCTCTTTGGTACAATATACAAACCCCACTTGAGTTCAGTAAAATGCAATCGTTCCTCTTCGGATGATGACAATGCACCTGTTTAACACTTTGCTACCAAAAAGCCACCGAAGAAACCAGCAGTTCAAGATACGGATCAAAAGATCTTCGGAAAACACCTTCTCACCCTTGAAAGCACTTTGAACTCTTGACTCTGGAGGGCAGAGCTACTGCTGCAGATAAGTTAATGGTGGTGAACCTACTGAACTGTCTGGACTCCGAAGAGCTGAATCAAAGAAGCCTGGAGTCATGCCGATCAAGCCATCACTCTGAGGAGTTGCTCCTTTCAAGAAGTCATCATCCTCTTCACCTTTGCACTGCAAAAGAAATGCAATTTTTAAAAACAAAAACGACACCTGAAAAACACAAAGCGCAAAGTGACAGTAACTTTTTTAAAAGGGAAATATAAATTTTAGGTTACATTGGAAAGGTGCCTTGCAGAACCTCATGCTAGAATGTTGCGATGAAGAACTCCTTCAGAACCTATACTAGTGATGCCACCACAGTTCATATTCACTAGGGTTAGAATCTGAACGTTGGCTGCTCATAGGTGCATATTATGACCCAGAATTCTTCTCCACAGTTTGAATTGTTGTCTGAGCTAGAAAATAACTCTTTTTAACTCCCCCGGTGGGGGAGGTGTTAGCCGGCGAACGGAATGTCCAGCGCGTAAGACCGAAAAGCCTAGAAAGAACTCTTCGGCATCAAGGAAGCCTGTAATGGGCCGTCTGGCCAGGCGGTGGCAGTGCTGCACTGCAATTTGAAGCAGTCTGGAGAAAGCTGATGACATCAAGCCACACAGAGGGGAAAATGCCACTGGAACACGTCTGACCTTACAGCTGAACAAACTCCCCGTCGGCTGCGAACGTGTGTGATTTAAAGATGTTGTCCTCCCTTACCCCTTGAATCATCGTTAGTCCCGTGTGTATTTGAGTAACTGTAAATCGCTCAGAGCCAGCAAGCTCTGCAGGATTGAGCGATTAATAAATTGAAAGATTATTATATATTATTATTTTTTCCCAACCTTACTTAGCTGTAGATAAGCAGGATGAAGGAGCAGTTCTCCTCTGTCCCTCCCCTCCTGCCAACTCCCTTCACTGGGGCACTTTGAATGGTGTTGCAGCAGCAGCATCAAAATACTGATTACTCTAAGAAATGCAGCCCCTAAGGTTCTGACTTTACGATGGGCAGCCAGGGGAAGATCTGTCAAATCATGAGTGAATTCAGAATTATGAGGCTAGGGAAGTTTGTCGTAGAATCAGCATTGAGCAAACTCTTGCACAAGAACTTTGCAGAGCAAAATTAGCATTTTTTTGCTTATGGTCTTTGCATCTAAACCCACATGTTTTTATTTACTAGGAAACATCAGAAGCTGCTTTCCAATTAAATGCTTTTTTCAAGTCCGCTACCTAAAAGATTCACTAAAGCACAGACATACTTCAGGAGTACACAGAGAAGCATAAAGGATCCGTGCTTTCAGAACCAGCTGGATCCAGACTGAGACGACGTCCTACCTCATCAGTGGAGTTGACAACCTCCGTGAGATCCTCAGCATTCTGCTCTTCCCAAAACTGATACAAAGGATTAATTATATTCTTTGACCTGCAAAGCACATGGCAATATGGTATGAGACAGAACAAAATGGGGAAAAAACACACCTGTTCCCTTGAATTGCCTTCCGTAGTTTTAAGCAAAAATGACACATCCGGGTGCTGAGGCAATAATTTTTAAAAATCGATACAACATATGTATACCTCCAGTAAATAACAGTGCTTAGGCCAGATGCATTTTAAAGCCATTGCCCAAAACAATGGGGACATTCTGAACTGTTAATGGACCCTTAGGCAGGCCCAAGCTCAGATGGAAGACAAATGAATCATGTGCATCCTGCTACTTTTCATGTTCACCAGTTCACTTGCTGTTCTGTCTGTTTCTGCCCATCCACTGAACAATATCAATGTAATACAAATCATATCCTTCTACTCCCATATATGGAAGTTTTTCCCAACCTTACTTAGCTGTAGATAAGCAGGATGAAGGAGCAGTTCTCCTCTGTCCCTCCCCTCCTGCCAACTCCCTTCACTGGGGCACTTTGAATGGTGTTGCAGCAGCAGCATCAAAATACTGATTACTCTAAGAAATGCAGCCCCTAAGGTTCTGACTTTACGATGGGCAGCCAGGGGAAGATCTGTCAAATCATGAGTGAATTCAGAATTATGAGGCTAGGGAAGTTTGTCGTAGAATCAGCATTGAGCAAACTCTTGCACAAGAACTTTGCAGAGCAAAATTAGCATTTTTTGCTTATGGTCTTTGCATCTAAACCCACATGTTTTTATTTACTAGGAAACATCAGAAGCTGCTTTCCAATTAAATGCTTTTTTCAAGTCCGCTACCTAAAAGATTCACTAAAGCACAGACATACTTCAGGAGTACACAGAGAAGCATAAAGGATCCGTGCTTTCAGAACCAGCTGGATCCAGACTGAGACGACGTCCTACCTCATCAGTGGAGTTGACAACCTCCGTGAGATCCTCAGCATTCTGCTCTTCCCAAAACTGATACAAAGGATTAATTATATTCTTTGACCTGCAAAGCACATGGCAATATGGTATGAGACAGAACAAAATGGGGAAAAAACACACCTGTTCCCTTGAATTGCCTTCCGTAGTTTTAAGCAAAAATGACACATCCGGGTGCTGAGGCAATAATTTTTAAAAATCTATACAACATATGTATACCTTCAGTAAATAACAGTGCTTAGGCCAGATGCATTTTAAAGCCATTGCCCTAAAACAATGGGGACATTCTGAACTGTTAATGGACCCTTATGCAGGCCCCCCCCACTTCAAGCTCAGACGGAAGACACATGAATCATGTGCATCCTGCTACTTTTTATGTTCACCAATTCACTTGCTACTCTGTCTGTTTCTGCCCATCCACTGAACACTATCAATGTAATACAAATCATATCCTTCCACTCCCATATATGGAAGTTCACCAGATGCAGGATATAATAATCTAACAAATAGGTAAACAGGAGCCATTTTTAATGTACTCATTTTTCTCAGAGGACCTGCAACATGCTGCCTGCAATCTGAAAGATGGGAAGGGACCATTTCTGCAGTGGCACCAAAACTACAGAACTCTGTCCTGTAGGACAGCCGCCTTGCTAATGCTGAGGCACCAAGCCAGGGTAGGTCTTTTTCAAAGAACTTATGAGACGTCTTCACTGACTTTATAGGCAGTGATAGGCAGTCTATTGCAGCACCCACCCACCCACCCTTTTACTGCAAGACAACGTCTTCTATCTTTGCAATTCTTCCTGCACTAACCACAAGTCAAACCTTAGACAGTTTTTTGCCTGCACTATTTTGTGGTCTTTTGGCTTGCCTTACTTCCTGTTTTTCAATCCTAGCCCCACTGCAGTGTTTCAAATATTAGATATCTTTGCTGTCTGTTTTTCATATTTTGTAAACCAAAGAAAGTTGGGCTGCAAATGAAGATAATAAATAATATTAATGAATAATGTGGCTAGCCAGTATTATGATTTAGTGGTTGGTCTGCTATAACTGGCCTCTATCTTTCGCAGAGTAGTTTTGCTTGCTTTTTGGGTTTTGACTGGCTTTGTTAGCGGCCTTGACAATTTAAATGGAAAGGGCCAAACTATTTTTCAAAGCATTGACATTTGGGTACCCCTGTTGAAACTTAGTATGGCACAGTTTTGGAAAGACAGAGCCCACTGCTTTCTGGAAACAGATACCTTTTGAGAATATAAGGATCAAAAGGGAAAAAGGTGTCCAGGGGATTGGTGCAGGTCTCCACAGAGTCACCCCCACCACTACTCCTTACGACTGGCAAAACCTGTCTCCGGTTCCTCTCAATGATTGTGTCACAGAATGCAATCTGGTACTGCCTAGAAGAAAGCAAGAAAGGCCAGATTTACTTTCTTTTTAATAAAGAGAAAAAAGACAAGATAGGCATGGAATTAAATAATTCATCAATGCCTAGTTCAAGTTTGCAGCTTTTGGCTAGGAGTGTGCATTCAACAATAGCTGAACTCAGGGCTTTTTTTGTAGAAAAAGGCCAGCAGGAACTCATTAGCATAACAGGCCACACCCAACAGCAGGAACTCATTAGCATATTAGGCCACACCCCTGACAGCACAGCTCATTGGCATATTAGGCCACACACCCCATGTTACCAGAAGTGTGGTCATCCAGCCACACCCACCTTTTGCTTCTTATTCTGTTTATTTTGTTGTCAAAACCCTGGGCTTTTTTTGCATGTTAGCTGACACACTTTGCATGTTAGGCCACACACCCCTAATGTAGCCAATCCTAATGAGTTTCTGCTGTTAGGTGTGGCCTATTATGCTAATGAGTTCCTGCTGGGTGTGGCCAACTCATGAGCCAGCCGGAACTCCGTTCCTGTGCGTTCCTGCCCAAAAATAGCCCTGTATGCAGGGAAAAAATACATGAAAAATACCTTGTCAGTATTTTTCAGGTATCACATAAGCTGAATACGAACCTGAAAAAGCCGATATTATCTGGCTTTTTTTCGGATTCATTCTGCTTTACCGACTACAAGGTATCAGTTAAACCTAACAGCCTTGAGCCACCAGTCAGCTGTTGGGTTTAAATGCCTTTCTTTCCCTCCTCGATCTGGGGGAAGAGAAAGAAAGGCATTTTAAACATGCCTAGGTTCCCTGGCTGACCAGGACCTCAAAGGTAGCATTCTCAGAAGTTCCACATGCAGGGCCAGCTAGACAGGTACAGATCAGTGGTCTCAATGTGTGGATGAAAGTGGTGCAAAGGAAGAAGGGTTTAGATCTGTTAAGCACTGTGGACATTTCTGGGACAGTGCACCTGTACAAAAGACAGGCTTCACGTGAACCAAAGGGGAACCAGGCTGCTGGCAATTAAAATCAAAAAGGTAGTAGAGCAGCTTTTAAACTAATCCCAGTGAGAAAGCCAACAGGAGCTGGGGAGCCTCTGGTTCAGGACAAGTCACTCCAAAGGGATAATTGCGTAAACCCTCAAGCTAATATTGATAAGGACATAATAGAATTTGGGAGTGAGGTTAGGATGGTGAATGAGTGCCATGTGTGGAAACTGACGGGCTGAAGGAAGTGAGGGTTACTAGAGAGGGAAACACATTATAGGTGTTTATATGTCAATGTTAAAAGACTCCGAGCCATAATGGGGGAGCTGAAGTACTTGGTGCTCAATGACAACTTAGATATAGTAGGTATCTCAGAATCATGGTGGAATGGGGAAAATCTATGGGATACAGTTGTTCCTGGGAATAAGCTCTATAAGGCAGGATAGGGAGTGACTGTTTGGAGGAGTGTTATGCTGTATATTAAATAAGGCATAGAATCAATTACATTAAAAAACATCAGGGGAATGAACTCCTCAACAGAATCAATATGGGTGGAAATACTGAGCCCTAAGGGTTACTTTAAAGTGGGGGTGTACGATCGCCACCTGATCAAACCCTTGGGGCGGATCTTGAGATGGAGAAGGAAATAAGGAA